GGTTGTTTTGAGGAACATATTTACCTTGTGAGGTTTGAGCCTTTATTGTTTTTTGTATGATATTGGTCGGAATCTTGTCAAGTAGAATTTGCCTTGAGACTGCTTTGAAATAACTCGATTAGATTTGTGAAACATGAATATGATTGAGACATTTCTTGTATTATCTTTTCTTTTTTCTTTTCCGTGAATAACAGTCATTAGTCACCCCCTTTGAGCCTTATATGATTTTATTGTTAACCTCGTGATGATGATATTGAGTTGCGGGTTGAGTGTTGGATGTGATAGTTGATTGCGTTGTATTTTTGTTTATTTGCTTAAAAAAAAAGGGAAGCCAAATGGATTATACTCCTAGTGTTCCGTCCACTAACTTAGTGGATACGAGCCATGAGTACGGGAAACCGGTCTAGGAGACTCGAGCAGAAAACTTGAAGGTTAAACCTAGATAAGATGTCCAAATGGTTTTCGAAAAACAAAAACAAAAACAAAAACAAAAAAAAAAAGAAAAAAAATAAAAAAAAAATGCTTGGGAAGTATGTTGGTCTTGGAGTTAGTGGGAGAGCCGGTTGGTGACAACTGGATAAGTTTGTTGATATGGTTGGGTGAATGAGTTGAGCTGATATGTTTTGAGTCACTTAGCCTATATTTATCCTACTCAGTCCAAAGAGCATACGTTACACCCCTTAAGACCTCTTGATTCATTGTTTTATGAATTTGATCGTTTTAGAGTAGAAGTTAGACGATAGGAAAATCTATGATTGACTTGAATGACAACCAGTTTGAGTGCACCTTTCTTATAATTTGCGAAGAAACAGAGTGAGGCATACACATACTTGTACTCGAGAGTTTTTGTTCTTCGAAATAGCTAAGTTGATAATTGAGGTGTGTTCTTGTGATCATTGTAATTCTTCTCAGTTTGATTGATCTGTTAGAGATTAGTCTTGCTTGAAACCGTGTCCATGCTCATTGTTTGTTTTGTTTTCTTTTCTTTGTTCGGGGCGAACAAAGGTCTTAGTGTGGGGGAGTTGTTTGTCCCATTTTTGTTATCTTTTTTTTTTGTCTCTTTGTTAGTTTTTAACCCCGAGTTTAAGAATTTTTTTAGTTCTTTTGGTCCTCCGGTCGTTCTTTGTTTCTTTGTTTAGTTGCTAATCGTTTATTTTTTTTGTTTTCGTTATTTTCTGCTATCTTGTTTGTTTTCGTGATTTGTTTTTTCGTCTTAGGTGGTGTGCAGATCATATTCTTCATCACACATTTGGAGCTATTCGAGCAACCGAGCATTAAGTTCTGAATGCCAGCCCAAGTACCAGATTTTTCAGCCTCAACGCCGCGGCGTTCCTCGCGCCGCGGCAGAATTTCTTCACGAGACCCCCGCACCGCGACAGCGCCACGAGAGCAACAGAGGAGTCTGGCCTTTCCAGGTGACGCACCGTGTCAACCGTCGCGCTGCGGATCAATACCCTGCCGCGCCGTGCCCTCTCTGTCGCGCCGCGGAGCATTACCCTGCCGCGCCGTGCCATCTCCGTCGCGCCGCGGAACGTTTCTCTACCACGCCGTGATCACTCTTCGTGCCACGGCATCGATAATTCAAACACGGATCTGACGACGAGCTATTTTAGTATCGAGCCTAGGGTAGAATAAAGATATTTCCTGACTTTGCACTTTTGAATTCTCTCGGGACGAAAAACATCTTTTCTCTTTTCTTTCTTTTCTTGAGCTTAGATTAAATCTTGTAAGGTGAAAAACCTCAAGATATTGCTTTGGGATTTGGATTGCTCATCGTTTTCGACATTTGGATCTCTTAATTAATCGTAAGCACTTTTTTTGATTTTGTTATGATGTTTTGTGCTTGGATGGTTATGAATTCTTGTGTTCAAATTACTATGAGTAGCTAAATCATTTGTTGGGGATAGGAGATATTCGTGTTGGTTCGATTGAGATTCATGAATGTTTGCTTACCGTTCAATCTATTCGAGTTGTTCTTAATCTAGGGCTAGATGCTTGATCAATATTCTAATCTAATTAATCAATTTGTAGAACCGAAAGGAGAGAAATTGGTTGAACGTGGCTCGTCTAGAATAGGTTTGTTCGTTAATGTATTGCCTATGTGTTGATTGTTTGGATAATTATTTGTTTATATTTGTCATCTTGTTACGAACAGTTATTGAGAACAAACCTCTAAACGAGTAGGTTATTTGATCTCTTAACTGAGCGGTTAAGCACTTATTAATAGTGTTAGAACCATATACGAGTATCTCCGATTCCCTAACTTCCCCAACACCATTTGAATTTCGTTTAGAATTGATAGTTCATTTTGTTTTTAATTCAGTGGTCGTAGTTGATAATCAAAAACCAACAATTTGATTTAGAATGTTTAGGACTTGTTTCTTATATCTTGTGTTTGAATAATCGTGCAATTTATTCCGGCTGACCTTCCTTGAGAGACAGCCCGGTGTTCGAATCATTTGATTTAACTCCGGTAAAAGTTATTACAACAGCTATTCTACCCACAAGGGGCATCAGACAAGGTGACCTCTTGTCACTTTATGTCTTTCTCATTGTGGTTGAGCTCCTGTCCTCTATGATTTCCAATGCTATCAGTGAGGGGTCTTTGGCTGGTTTGAGGATCTCTAAGGATGGCCCACTTCTCTCTCATCTGCTTTTTGCTGATGATGCACTCCTATTCTGTAGAGCTGGAGTGGACCAAGTTCAGCACCTTTTGAGAATCCTTGAACAATTCAAACTTTATACTGGGCAAAACGTGAATTTTACCAAGTCTTTTTTTTTTTTTTTTCAGCAAGAACTCTCCTACTGACTCACAGATGAGAATTTGTGCTCTACTTCCTGGGATTTGCTCACATTAATCCACCAGATATCTTGGATTACCCTTTGGCATAGGGAAATCAAAAAAGGAAGCTTTTGAATATGTCCTCAACTCAGTTAGAGAAAGATTGAATAGCTGGAAATCTAAACTTCTCTCTCCTGCTGGTAGAGAAGTTCTCATAAAGGCTGTTCTATCTTCCATTCCTATATTCACTATGGCTTGCTTCATACTTCCTGTTTCTACAGCTAAAGAAATCTCCAAACTCTGTGATGCTTTTTGGTGGAGCAAGGGTGAAAATCAGGACAAAGGAATCTACTGGAAATCCTGGAATAATCTGTTATTGGCCAAGGAGGATGGTGGTCTGGGTTTTCTTGATGTTAGGCTCTTTAACGACTCTCTCATTTGTAAGCAGCTTTGGAGAATCACCTCTCAACCCCAATTGCTTGTTAGCCAAGTTCTCAAGAGCAGATATTTCCCTTCATCATCTATTTTTGAAGCTACTAAATCCCAGAACTGTTCTTGGCCTTAGAGTTGCTGGCTGCAGGTGCTCCCCACTTTTGCTAAGGTATTCAGAATTCAGATTAGAAATGGGAATACTACCATAATTTCAGATATAAACTGGATTCCTACATTAAAAGCTCTCAGAACTCATATGTTGGACCTTGTTGTGGGTCACTTGATTTGGGTGAAAGACTTAATGTCTAGCAATGGCAGGAGTTGGAAAGAATGGCTAGTTTCCCAGTTATTCAATACTGAGGAATGTATGGCTATTCTCCAAATTAACTCCTTGAATCCAAACAAAGAGGACAAGATGTTTTGGAGTTTTGGCAGAAGGGGTCTTTTCTCTGTGTCCTCTTCTTACTCTTGCCTCTCTAAACTTAAGCTACATGTGATGGATATGCCACAAAGCAGTGGTAACTGTAAATCTATCTCTAATGCAAGAAGGAGAACATGGAAAATGAAAGTCCACCAAAAGCTGAAGCACTTTATATGGAAGTGATGTTTCAACACTCTTCCAGTAAAGGCTAATCTTCTGAAGAAAGGAATTCAGTTGGATCATATTTGTCAAACATGTGGTGAGGATACTGACACAGTTTGCCATGTTTTTTTTCAATGCCAAAGAGTTAAAGATGTGTGGAAAGTCAGCCATGTGAACTGGGATGGATGTTGTTTTGCTGAGGATAATTTCAGTACTTGGTGATGGCAAGTGTGCTGTATCGACAAATCTGAGGTAGCCGAGGCCCGCATTCAACTCTCCACTTATCTTTTATGGTGGCTGTGGAAGTCACGAAATCTTTGGCTATTCGAATCGACTCTCATGCCTGTTCAAGCTCTTATCAAGTCTGCTATTAAGGACTGGGAGGAATTCTCAGCTGCCTTCTTTTAGCTTCATGTTGGTCGGTTTTTTTTTGTTCTGTTTTCTTTGTTTTGCTTTGGTTTCTGTTTCTTTTTCCCTCTTTATTCTGTGTTGCTAGTGTTGGGGCCAGTTTTCTGTATTAGGCATTTGCAGTGATATGGAATGTTGAGATTGATTAGTTTGTTGTTAGATCTTTAGTACCCGTATGTGGGCTGTCTAGGTCATTTTATAGCGTGTCCTCCCTATTTTTTTTTTTCTTTTTCGGCTGTTGGCCCCGTCTGTGAATATTGTATTTTTCGGTGGAGTAGTTATATATCTCCTATTTCGTTCCCAAAAAAAAAGATAAAGTTGAGTTGAGAGATCTTCAAATTTCTATTCAATTTGTTGAAATCCTCCACAAGAAGCGGCGACGGCGAGCGGCTGAGATAACTTCAACAATTCTTTTGAACCTATGGATCAAAAGCAATAATTTGAAAATTTTAGTGATCAAAATTGATTAATTTGAAATTTTGGATATCAAAATGAAAAGATAGCATACTTGGAATAGAAAAATGGAACTTTCCGGAGTTAACCCCACTTGAAGTGGTCCTATCCGGCTCGATTCCGGATTAGTCGGTTCCCCTGTGGATCCGGAAAGCGGAAGGTCCCTATACCAAAAAAAAAAAAAAAAAAAAAAACTCCACTTGAAGTTTGGTTAGACCGATGGTGCACCCAGATTAAAAGAAATGAGCTTGTTCTTATGACTTGATTTAGAAAATTACCTCGTAGTCCAGCCCAGCACCCACCGGCACTCATTTCCCAATCCCAGTAGCTTCCGCCATAGCAATGCAAGTATCCCATAACCCCAATTTCCCCTCCATTAACTCAAACCTCATAAACCCTAGCTTCAACCCCTGCAATTCGAATTTCCAATCTTGCCTCAAGTTCAAGACTTTGGGAGTCTCCCGCTCAGTTTTGTCCTTCAACAAGTCTACATCCAGCTTCCCAAACAAGCTCAACAGCACTAGACGTCGCCGTTTTGTTCCCTTTGTTGCAGCCTCTGCGGCTAAAAGGTCCTCCACTCCTGATCACTATAAAGTTCTCAATGTCGGTAGGAATGCCACTTTGCAGGAGATTAAAGCCTCTTATCGTTCACTTGCTCGGAAGGTGCGTATACTTGTCTTGTTTGCGCTTGCGCTATTCTTCAAGAAACTATAGTTGGTTCAAGTATGGGACGATGAAGCTCTCATATTGATTGTCGTTCTATACAGTTGGTTAGTTTGTTGAGGAGTATGTGCCTACGGTTATATTTGTACAGTTTGTTGGTGTGTTGAGGAGTAATGTGCCTACATAATTATTTATTGGAGTAATGGAGAAATTTGGCTTATAATGGGCACCTGTATTTACGGGTCATTATGTGGTACGAGCACCTGTAAATACCAATCATTATGCGGTACCGGGTTTATACACTTGCCTTCTGGCTGTAGAATTCTTCGCGGAGTTGGATCAATGTTGTTTGGCTTAACCGTGGATAGTTACAATTGTGACTAACTTATGTTTATTACCTTACTTCTTGTGTTGATGCAGTATCATCCTGATATGAACAAAGGTCCTGGAGCTGAAGAAAAGTTTAAAGAAATAGGTGCTGCATATGAGGTAACATTAATATTGCTGCCATAGTTTATTTTGATACTTGTCCTTTTTTTTTAAGCCCGAGCAAAATAATTTGCATTATTTCTTGCATGTATAGGCTAATTCTTTCCCCTTGTTTTCACGTCCGTTAATGCATATGTGCTTTCCTTCATTCATTTTTTTGCTCAAAAACATCAATTGCCATAGGCCAGATACTTGTAGTGTGGCTCATTCCACTATCATAGTATTGCCAGTTGATTGTCTTATTTCAATTACTGTGGTGGCTATACAATCCAGAATTTTCGGCATAAGTAATGTTATCAGGAAATATTATATGTTTATTTAATTAATTTTGTTTCCTCCAATAACAAAGCATTTGTGTAGGTTCTATCAGACCCCGAGAAAAGGTCTCTGTATGATCGCTTTGGGGAAGAAGGTTTAAGGGGAGGATTTGATGCAACGGATGCTGGTTCACAAGGGGTGAGTTAAGCACATCTTCCTATTCCCACCACTCTTTTAATTATGGGTAGCAATTTAAGTTCTACCTGTGTATTTTGTTAAGTTTCCCTACTTAATATATTTTTTTTCCTTGCTAGCAACTTCATTCACAACCCAAATACTTGTTACATGCTGCATATTTCAGGTTGACCCCTTTGAAGTATTCTCTGAATATTTTGGTGAATCTAATAGCTTTTTTGGAGGAAGTGGCGCATCTAGTAGCTTTTTTGGAGGAAGTGGTGCGCAAAGAGGATTCAATTTTGATTTTAGAGAGAGCCGTAATCAGAAACTTGACATTCGGTAATAGTCTAGTGACTAGTGGATTTTATGCATTAACTGTTATTTGACATTTTCCGTGGGATTTGTGTTAGATATGTATTTTCAGTCCTTAAATATAGGTTTGCTGGTCTTATACTCTATAAGTTAAAGGTATTGCCTTTGTTTGGTGTCTTTTCAGATTCAATTTTCGCTTGTACCAAAAGTTTAGTTTTTGAGATTGCATTGTGCTTTCTTAAGAAATATAAATACGTGCTGCATGACCCCTGTTTGGTTGTTTTTATATTTTTGTATTAAGTTAATCGTTCTGAAGATGTTGAATAATTATGTATTTCTACCTATTGAAATATATAATTAGGAAAGGAAAATTTGTTATGTGAGTGATTGAGGTCTACATGTTTTAAATTGTAATGAATAATGATTGCTTCTTGGTTTTTAAGTTTCAACACGATGGATGTGAGATTTTCTCAGACTAAAGGTTAGGTAAAGCAAACCTGATTTGAAATACTGTTAATGAAGCCATCAACTTTTTCAATGGAAAACCACATGGGGCCATTATGTTTCAATCAAATTGGCCCATAACTGAGCTTAAAAACAGATTCGCCCTTCTCATCAATGAACTCCTGACATATAGGAGTGCGGTTCTAGAAATTCCTACCTCTCTATCTATCTCGGAGATGTTTAAATTTTTCAAAATGTCAGCAAATCACTTTTTTATTTTTGCAAGGGTTCGTTGCAGCTTAAGGGCATTTTTGTCTTAATGTCCCAGGAAAGCTTGATTGAGTTACTTACTATATGCGTTTACTATATGAGGCTTCAGATTTATAGCGTTTTGTTGGAGAAGGGAACTCAAGTAACTCTTATGTTGCCTGAACTGTTTTATCTGTATGATTTCTCTTTCATGTCACATGTAGATTGTTACTATTACTTTATGTCTTAAGATTTGATGGGATCTTCATCATGATAAATAATGTATTACTCCTTGATTGAATTACAATGTAGACATGATATATATTTGAGCTTTGAAGAATCAATTTTCGGAGGAAAGCATACAGTTGAAGTCTCTTGTTCCGAGACATGCGATAGTTGTGGTGGAACGGGCGCAAAATCCAGAGATTGTCTAAAGACGTGTGCCGAATGTGGTGGTAGTGGACGGGAAGTAAAAACACAGAAGACACCTTTTGGCGTTATGTCTCAGGTACACCATGCAATAATCATCTGGATTATGATTGTATGAGAATTGGCGAATATGATTGTATGAGAATATGTTCGTGAAGTTTGGTAAACTTGTGTTTCAATAACCACCTGAGGGCAGGGTCCGGCCTACATTTATTGTTCAAGGGTCTCAATAAGTTCATAGGTGAACCCCAGTGGGGTTTTATGTCAATCCCAAGGATCACATAAAGAAAGGATAAATTGTTTGGTGGAGAACAGCTTGTTTAGATAATCATTAAAGTTTTTCCGTGATGAATGTTCTTCCAAGCTGGAAGTTCAGCCAATATCTCAGATCCTGCATCTGGTGTGTCAGTTAATTATGTGTTTCCGGTTGTGGTTTGGCTGCAAGGCCAAATGCTTGATAGATGAAACAGTTAAAAGAATCTTAGGGGACATGCTACTTACTATGACCGATGAACATTAAGTAATGTTATCGCAAGAAGGTGTACAGTCGATTCATATATTAAATAAATACTATTTGCAAATGTTATTTTGGTTTCGATATTTTACATGAAATAACTATTGGGTTAATGAAAATGGAGGAGGACATCATATTTTCATATTCTAGTTGAATCATATATTTTGATGATTAAATGTATATGCCATGTATGTTTTCACGGATAATGTCGTGGTACATAGATTTTTAAAGAGAATTTTCAGTTGTCCATGTTTGTAACAAAATATTCGCTACATCTGACTGGAGATCAAATTTCTCATTGAAACTGTAGTCTATGAGATATACATGATTAAATTCTTTTTACCGTTAGATTTATTTATTGGATTTTGGATGATTTTATCTGTTTTTTAAGTAGCAGTGTCTGTCTTGTGTTATAGTTGCTGGTGATATGTATTTGAATTTTCTTATCAGCCTAGAATAGAAGTATAGAGATTCAATCCCAAATCTTGCTTTGACATTATGTGTAGATGATCTGTCTATGAACTCTAGGTGAATGCCTGTCCAAAATGCGGTGGTGAAGGGAAGATAATTACTGATCGGTGCCGTAGATGCAACGGTCGTGGTGAAGTTAAAGCAAAACGGACTATTGAAGTCATTATTCCACCTGGCATTGATGATGAGTCCACCATGAAAGTTCGAGGAGAGGGGAATATTGACCAGACTAGGTGCGTATATTTTAGTCGGTTAGTAAACTAAAATGTATGTTCCATTGTATCTTGATAAGGGCAGTCTATAAACGTTTCTCCCTCTTTGATACCCTATAATATAGGTGCTTTCTTGTTAATATATAAGCCATATTTTTTGCTGTCTTTTGTGAATTATAGTGGATCCTGAATATATTATTGGTAAGTAATATCATGGTTATGCATTTAAAAGACCAGATCGCGTAACAGACTTATATCTCTTATTTTCTATATATTTTGTCTAAATATTGAAAAATGTAGATGGCTTCTTTCATCTAATTAACAAGACACAAATGTAGATGGTTATTTCTATGCTTTATTCATGATATTTGCTAGTTATGACTCTTTGGTTCTTTACATCATTTCAAATATTGGGATTTATTTACAGAAGATTTCTCTCTCTGGGTTTTTGTGTACAGGGGTGTAGCTGGTGATTTGTATCTGTTTGTCCATATCGAGGAGAAGAAAGGAATCTGGAGGGATAAAATGAATCTATACTCAAAAGTTGCAGTTGATTATACTGAAGCCATCCTAGGGACTGTTAAGCAGGTAAAATCCCATAGTTTTAAGCATAGTGCTTGCTGTTGTTTAATTATTTGGTCATCCTTATTAATCATGAAAAAGGTACAAAAAAATTAGAAAATATGACGAGAGTTTCGAGAGAATTGAGATCATATTTATCATTTATGTTAGTGCCAATGCATACTTTCTGCTATCTTCCGTTACACTGCTATAACAAAATCTTGAATAGAATTTTTTGTGTTGCCTTGTCACGTTTGAAGTAATTGACTAATTCCCCTTGATCGTCACTATATAATTATGTGGCTATGTGATAATTTTGTTTCTTTATGAACTGTGTTAAACGCATACTTGATCAACTCCTTCCACGACAAATGTATGATAATGATAAATGATATCAGGTGAATACTGCTGAAGGTATGAAGGATCTACATATTTCTCCAGGAACTCAACCGGGAGATAAATTGCGATTGCGAAATATGGGTGTTCCCAACATAAATAAGCCGTCCAGAAGAGGCGATCATTATTTCACTGTTGATGTTCAGATCCCAAAACATATTAGGTTTGTTAACAAAACTTAAATACGTCTCTTTATTCAAATGGTTAGAGGATTTCATGTGAAATGTGTGTCAAAATAGTAAATTAGGTGTTGAATTTATTCCCATAAAACAATGAATTGAGTAACTACTTGCATAAAAATATGTGGAGTTTTTTATTTCATCTTTCTAGTGACATTTTGTATCGAATCATTAAATTGATTTATCAACTGATGTTATGTCGCAATATTTAGTGACGCAGAGCTAGCATTAGTTGAAGAGTTGGCTTCTCTTAGGAAAGTCAAAGGTTATACGTCCCCGAGCAATGATGAAGGTTCTTCTTTTACCTCTTTTTTTTTTTGGGATTTGAATAAAATGCCCTTTTTTTTTCTCCTTTAGCCTTATTGTGTCTCTTATTATATTCAGGAACCCCTGGGACGGACAACATGAACCAATATTCATTCAGTGGAACAAAAACTGGGAAAAGTTGGTGGAAGTCAATCAAGAACTTCTTAAGGTATTATACTACGCAGCTCCTGTTAGCATCTTTCTTATCCATTACAGCCTAGAATTTCGCTTTTCCATTTATAGTAGTCATAGCTGACCGTCTATATGTCGGCACTTTGCTTGGACAACAAGTGGAAATTTCGAAATTGAAATGAAATAAGGTGAAATACGGTTGACTTCTTTAATAGTCCAAATTTATCATGCATTTAATACTGTAATTTATTCACGTCGACCCCTTCGAGATAATTATGGCTACGAGATATACTTGTCATCAGTATTTTATGACGAGCTCATTCAGATGTATTCAGTTACGAGGTCAATATAGGCTGTAAAATACAATTGCTAGACAAAATGATTTCTTTCGAAACCATGTTGAACCAATACAAAATCAAATTGTTTAACATGAGAGACATTACATTATTAACCAACTGTAAAACATTACGAAAAAACATGTTATTTTCATCATTGTATGTATTACGGAAGTTCAGGGTTATATGAAGCATCTCTATTAGTACACTATACTTTGTGTATTTGTATATATGTTCATGATCTCAGCAAAATGGATTAGTTGTCTTCTAACGATTACCGAATCATTAGGAGGCGGCAAAATGGAGAAAGATATGCATCAATTTGCATTAATACACCAACATCAAAGTTTCTGGTCGGCTCGCCTGGTGTGACTGCCATGTTCATTATAGTTCTTTCAGCAGCTTTCACTGTCTTAATGAGCAGATTCGGTTGGACTAAATTTCGTCAAAGAAGGAAACGAATAGAACACGTTTATTGTCCTCCAGAAAAGGTAAATACATATGTCGACAGTTCTTCGCGCTCTTAATGTAATAATCTTTGTACTAAGTTGCATGGTTTTCCGTCTCACAACATGCTGTTGGTGTATTTTATTCAGAAATTCAAGAAATGATAGAATTTGTGTGTACTTATATCGTGAAATTTTGGTCTTTGTTAAGAAACCCAGAGACATCTTTGGTACTTTTCCATCTTTGTTTGGTTTTTTTCTTTTCTTTTCTTTCTTTGTTCTTTTTTCCAGAATTTGTGAAACTTGAAGCCTATAATTATGCGAAAATTGAAAGTGAAACTGGAAATAATAATAATAATAATAATAATAATAATAATAATAATAATAATAATAATAAATAGTTCTGTTTTGTCTCTTCGTACATTTTTTTTTTAACGGATCTAAAGTTGGATACAAATTTTTGTTTCATGATCTCTATTTATCTAATTCTCCTTTGTAATGTTAAGAAATATATAAATATGAAAACCAAACAATACTACATATTTTTCAACAAAATTCTCTATTCATTCACTCATATATTTTTTAATTAGCAATTATATATAATCATTATTTGATAGGACTCTTACCATGTAAAGAAAATATTAGGGCAACATATAGAACATTGCGTGAAGTCGGATGTTGGATCATAAAGTCAATTTAAACCTAGAGCTGTTAATGGTTGGAGGAAAGAAGGAAGTTAAGTTGCACATTGTACTAGAAATCGGCCTAGGCTTCACTCGACCGATCTAAATTTGCATGAATCACTATAAATATCGGCTAGGCGGCTAGACGGGCCTAGGTGTTTCTAGGTGGATTCGGTGATAAATTTTCATTTTTTTTTTTCAATAATCACACTTTTTCTTATAACATATATTAATATTATTATTTGTACTTTTATTATAAGTCGAGATAGTTTTAATTTGTAGGTAGTGAAAATAAATTAAAAAATAAAGTATATTAGTTTTAATTTTTAGGTTAGCCTAGGCGCAAGCGCCTAGCTATTTCTATAACGTTACACAGAAATCCCGTATGTTGGCGCCATGGCATGGTATACGATTCTTTTACAGAAATAATAACAAGACATCGAATTTTTATTTATACCACATGATTTGGAAAAAAAATATAATTTACCATGGGGCAAAATTTATTTGCATCTTTACCAATTTCTTGTCAACTAACTATAAATATACACCAAATTATAGGATTTTCATTACCAAATTAAGTGTAACCGCCTCCCCCAGATTATGGGATTTTCAGTTACCAAATAAAGTGTTACCGCCTCCCCATTAAATTGCGCAAATCGTGAGTTTTCAGTTCTCACGTTATTTAATAGACATCATATATTACGTTTATAGTCAGTATATATTCAGTATAGAACCTAGTTTTTTTATGTACATAGCATTTTTATCTAAACCACAATTGTGATATTTGAATTTTTGTTCAGCATATAACCTATCATATACATATCATAAACTTATCATAATCATTATTTTAATAAATTATTTTGGTACATGTAGAGTATATGATAAACAAATGAAGCACGGGCAACGAAAATATATACTGAAAATATACTGCCTACATATGTAACATATACTGCAAAAAAATATATATAAAAAGAAATCATTTTCGCTCTCCCTTTTATTCATCGTCCCTGTAAGCACGCACACAACTGTTTCAGAAAATTTCACCAGCAAAATCACACCAAATCCAAAACCCTAAGTTTTAATTTCATCTTTCGTGCAAAAAGATGATCCAACTAAACCTGTCGTTTCCGCCCGCGTCTCCACCATCTCCATCATTGACTGTCAGAAATCGATCTCGTAGCCGGCGGCGACGACGAAGACGACGAACTTGGTTAAGCCACGGAAGTTCTCCGACAGCAGGAAGTCGATGATCCACGCGGGTCGAACAGAAACGCCGCTTCTGGGGGGAATCCTAACTTTCCCCAATTCTCGAACATGAACAGTTGAAGTCGGATAAGGAAATAATGTCGCTTTCGCTACTCTCGCCGGCGGAGGATGGCGTTTTGGAGGTCGGCGGTGAGTTGATGAGAGGAAGAAGAAGAAGATCGGAGAATAAGAAAGAGAGAAAAATTGACGGGAAAGGAAAAGAAGTTATGGGAGGAAGGTTACAACCATAAATATAGGATTATAATTTTTTTTATAACTTATCGTCCCTGAAATTGTATTTTTGGTATCTTTGCAAATAAAGTTGATCAATTTAGTTAATATGCAAATCATACATATGGGGTGTAATTATGTAAATAAAAATGATAACGTTAGTGCACCGATGCATAATTTTCTCTAACAAGTTTGTGTAAAGATTGACATCTACAAAGAAATATGAATTTGGTCTATATAGTATCTGAACAGCAAATGGCCAATCAGATCAAATGAATTGGCCACGTCAAAACAAGTTTTGTGAGATCGTGGTCTGGTGTGGGCCTTCAGGATAAAGAAATTGGCCCAATGCTACTTTTCCTTTCGGGAGTGGGCCCTCACTAGGCTTACTCTACTTGGGCGAGGTACAATTGTGAAATGGGCTTCATTCATCTTACCATATGTACTCATGAATCTTCACAGGTCCAGTCAGCTTGTTGTCCAATGATGACTAATTACGCCTTTGATTATACAATTGGCAGACAAGTGTAATTAGCATTGAGCAGTCATTTTAAATTTCATTTATAGAATTGGCAGACAAATCTAACAGTTTTGCTATAAAACTATCGGATGGCTCGGGTTATGGATCCATCTATTGTTATTACAAAGACACGTGTCCTGCAATAAATGCACATTGGACATGTGTCAGTTCATAAAGTTATGGATGGCTCAATAAAGGAGCCATCTGATGGCTCCATAAGTTATTTTACTGATTTTAACATGTATATTAAGTAAATTTACTAGTATAACATAAATAATATATAAAAACAATTATAATTAATGCTAAAATTGATTAAAATCAAATAAGAATATAAAATTATGAAATATAGGTGTTTTTAACTTTAAATTTGATGTAAGTGGACTGATAAAAATATAAAAGTACCAATAAAAATTAAATAATATTGTATTATTTGAAATTTAGCTTGTATTTTGGCCGATGTTTTCTTGTATAACCAATATTATTCGTTATGAAACCAATATAATATAGTCTATCTGCGAAAAGCAGTATTTAAAGAGTCACGTTACAGCCTACAGGTCAGTATACATATTCAGTATTATACATATGAGTAATGCTATATATATATGATATTTTATACTTATGGATTTCCACAGACCTAATTGAAGTACAACTTGATTGAATAATGTGTTTAAAATCATTTTACCATGTGAGACTATGTATACATTTAAGAATAGTAGATTTGCAATAAAACTAGCAAAATTAATGAAGTCTTTAAGAACATTTTTTTCATTTTTCTGTAGTAGGGGCC